CCCCAGCTTCCAAGAACCCTGAGCTAAAACAAATCTCTTTTAAAAAAATTATTCAGTTTCAGGTATTCTGGTACTGCAACAGAAAATGGACAAAGACAATCAAGTATCACAAAACTCAAGGAGTCAGAGACTTCTTGCAAACAATTTCAGTGGCAAATATTTTAGTAGAATTATTAGGAGTAGAGAAAAAAATCTGTTACAGCAGTCTGACCAATCTCTGCAGGAGAATTTAAAAGGAGAAATTCAAGAGATGACTCCAACTTTCTTCTCACCCTAGAGAAATACTCAGAGCAAGGATCACTAATACACATGTCTGAAATATATATGGTAAGAGTGATTCTATAATTTTTTTCCCAGTGCCAGAGATCAAACCTAAGGCCTCATGCAAACACTCTACCATCAAGTTACAACCTAGCCCTAGTATACTGAATTATGAAAGGGTTCTGGATAATTCTGTACAAAGTGGTTCAAAGTATGAGATGCTTAAAAATAAAAAAGGGGCAAAATGGTACTTAACAGAAGAGATATTACTATTATTTTAGCTAGAAGTAAATTCATATGTGCAATCATGAAATTGTTTTTCAAGAAACTCAATTATCTTTGGAAATATTTACATAAATCATCATGATTTTCCTATAAGCTTCTAGAAGTCTGAACCTTGAAATAAATTTTACCAAGTCCCCTTCTGGTCTAACTAGACCAAAAACCCCCTCTTTGGCCCAGGGAGCTCACTCACCCTATGAACCAGGCTTGCAGAAGTGGCCTGAGGGTTGGCCTGAGGATGCAGAGCACCACACCTGCCAAGGAACATTGATGATGAACTGCAACGCAACCTGTTTATGATTCAGGAAACTGGCACCAATTTAACTTTCCTTTACCTCTTCTAGGGTAAACAGTAGCTTGAACTATATTAAGAAGGCACCTTAAAAGGCTAAGCAACCAGCTAGAGCCAAGAGGGACAATTAAAATGGGTTGTAACTTTCTCTCCAAGGCAAATGCATACACTGGAAAGAGAAGACTGTGGAGTAGGAGAGACACTACAGGGTTTGGGACGCTCCATGTTCAGATCCCTTAGTGGAGTTCAGATCCCCAAGGTGGAGTAGTTAGGGAGGGAGTTAAAAATAAGATCCTTAGTTTGAGTGAATGATGGAACTGGAAATGTAGGTTCAAGAGGCATCCTCATCTCAAAGGCAAAGTCACAGGTGTGGATTGGAATGTTTTATGGTTCAAATGGCTGTCATAGTGGTCATAAACTTTGGTTTTTCCAAAGAAGCATGTTTTCAAAGTGCTCTGGTAGGAAGCTGTGATACAGTACAGAGTCTGGCTACTCAAACATAGTCAGGTCCAGTCTCCACTCCCACTCCCAGGACTTGGGTGATAGGGCAGGGGACTCAGGGCACACGAGTGTGTGAAGCACTGGTGCAAGTTCCCAGACTTTGGTCTGCCAAGTAGTCACCAGTTTTCAGTGAATGAGAAAAAGAAAAACACATTTACAAGCATAGACTTTTTCAACCTAAAAAATATTCTTTTTCCCGATGTTATATGCTTCCTTTGTTGACACTGTCAACATGGCTTGTCATCTGTGAAATCAAGGTGGTGGCAATTTAGTGATTTTTCTGACAAGTTATTTTATGCTTCACTGGCAGCAGGTGACTTAACCACACTTTTCCTACCTGGGATGTCCTCCTCACTCTCAAGACTAAATTTCTTCAAGAATCAAGTTTCTATTGCCAGACCCTTTGGATTAGTTCCTTAGGGCTGTCAGCACAAAGAAATATAAACAAGGTGACTGGAAACAGAACTTTACTGTTTATAGTTCTATAGGCTGGAAGTCTGAATTCAAGGCTGGTCAGGCTCTGTCTGAAGGCTCCCGGGAAGGGCCTTCCTTTCTCTTCCTATTGCTGGCGTTTGCCAGCCATTCTCAGGCTTCTTGTCTGGTAGCTTTGTAGTTCCAATCTCAGCTTCCATCATCACAATCCATTATCCGTGCATGTGTCTGTGTCTGAGTTTCCTTTATCACATAAGAACACCAGTCACTGATTTAGGACCTGCCCTAATCCAGTATGACATCATCCAAGCTAATTACATCTGCAAAGATCCTATTTCCAAATGCTGTCACATTCACAAATACAGACAGGGGTTAGGATTCGAACATAATTTTTAGAGAACACAATTCAACCCATAACATTCTACAAGGGGACGTAATTTAAAAGAAAATACCCTGATGACTTTCAAAATTTTATGGCAAATATCAAAATACTTGCTTTTTTCAAAACAAAGCATAAATGAAAATTCTGAGGGTATATAATAAAAATGAGCATGAGATCAGCAATTTGAGTGGTGGTTTTCTGTTTCCTACATCATTCCCAATTGCATAAACTGTGTCAAAATTTGTCTTAGATTTTTTTCCTTACTGTCAAACTTCCTCAGCTCTTTAGTTTTTAAAAGAATGCCTACTATTTCCCCACCACATATAGTTTAGCTCCCTCCTACATGTCACTGCTTGGTGTCAGGAATTACTTGAGATAGCTGGTGATCCCTCAGGCCCTAGGCTGCTGAGGTGCAGCTCCTCAGGAGGCACAGGCGAGGTTGACTCAACAGGATGTGAGAACATGAGACCCTCACACCGGTACAGGTGAGTGATATTCAGACCCAGGGTTTCAATATGAAGACAACAGTATCTGTTTAACATTCTAATTTTGTCCTATATTATAAAACCTGAAGTACTGTTTCCAGGTGGTTAGTGGCTTCAGAGCACAAGTATGTGGAGCACTGCCAGCCGGTGGACAGTGGCACAGGCCAGTGAGCAGCAGACATAGCTCACCAGCAGCACATCAAAGGCCCTGGCTGGCATTCTCCATCACATCCCGTTAGGTGACAGTGCCTCCTTTCACAGGAGAGAATGTGAGCCCAGGGTACAAAGGAACCTCAAGGTTAGGCAAACATTCCTTCATAGCTAGGAGAATGTCTGGAGGGAGGAGGCCTGATTGCGTTGTTTGGGGAACAATGCTGTGCAAATATAGCCAATGATAAGTGAAGGTAATGGCTTAGACCTTGGTTTTGAGTGAATTTTTACTTTAGGTTGGCAGCTTCAACAGCCACACTTGCTCTAAGTTTCTTTCTTCTTTTTTTTGTCTTTTTTAATTTTTAAAATTTCCTCTGCTGAAAGAAACAATTAAGTTCAGATAGTAAAAAAACATATTTGGAAGGTACTTTGAGATGATGCTAACAGCCACAGCCTTATGACCCAAGTTCCAGCAGCTGGTCTGTGATGCTCAAACCCTCAACTAACTGTGTCTGGGCTGAGGAACAGATGCCGAGGCAATATTGTCTTATAGCACAAAGCCTTACCGCACCCCGCCCCGCCCCACCCAGCTCCTCATGGATCCCCAACCCCACTTGGTTCTCTTATATGCACCCTTCCCACCCCTGTGCTCCTTGCCCAGGATAAGGAGCAGCCAGAGGGCCTGTTCTGCTGGTGACATGTCCCACCGTGGTTCTCTGCAGAAGCAAACCACATGGAGACTTGGGAGACACCTAGCACTCTGACCACAGGGGTCGGAGAAGTCAGCAGTTCCCTGGGGGATTCCTTAGGCTTCTAGAGACTGACATCATGCCCTAGTGTCACCAGGATTCACGGTGTCCCAGGAATCATGGTGGTGGGCCAGGCATATTGTACACCCAGCACAACACCCTTACCAGTTCGCACCCTCTCAAAGTCTAAGCCTCTCTGCAGCCCCTCAGTGGCCTCCTCACCCTCCCCTGGTGGGCCCTGGCTGGAGCCTCCTTTCTCACACACTTGCATGCACCACATTCCTGTGGAACTCTTGCTTGGATTTTCAATTTTCATCTGTTATAGTCACAAGTGGAGTAGAACTCTACGCCTCAATGGACTGTAAACTTCACAAGGCCAAGGAGTGGTCTGTGGTGTTTCTGCAGGGCCCACAGCCTACCCCATGCACGGGTTGTGACATATAGGAACATACAGAGCACATGCGCAGGCTGTGGGCAGGCCAGGATGGCCTGAGGTACATGTGATGGACTGCAGCCTCTCTCAGGGAGTATCACACCCCAAGTCGGAGTCTTTATCTGAGGATACACATCTGAAAGATTGATTAGGGACTGGCAAATGACTACACAGTGGGGAAAAGAGAAAGCAATACAATATATGCATTGGGAAAGCTTTCATTTATCTAAACAAATATTTGTCCTGTACATCCAGGTCTGGGTGCTGGAGGGGAAACAAAGATAAAGCAGGTAGGGCTTTTCTTCCAAGGTGCATACGGTCAAAAATCAGAGATGTGTTTATAAATAGCCATAATGCAACCCAGAAAGGGCTAAAATCAGAGTGAGGGAAAGAGAGAACACAAAGGTCTCCTGAGCAAGATAAGCTCATCTATCATTAACTCATTGTGATCCTAGTGCAATTAAAGGAATTCCAAACCAGGAAAAAGCAAACAGGACTGACCCTGGAGCACCTTGAAACACAGTAGTGGCCCTGGGCCTCATCCCTCTCCCGTGGACACCACTGCGAGTGAAATCACATCTCCACATCTGGAACTGGCTTCCTCAACCTCGAGCTATTTAAACCCAGAAAGGAAAACAACACCCCCATAGAAATGCTGGGCAAAAGCAGGAGGAAACTTGAAAAAGCGGGTCACGTCAACACTGTGTACGGTCAGGCGGGAGATCTGAGTACTGACACCTCGAGACCCAGACATCCCTATATAAAAGACAGGTCGACATCCCAGACGCCGACACCCCTGATGCCCCCAGATCCCAGCCAGGGCCCCATATCCCGACCACCTATGGTAGATCCCGGTCCCTGACACCCGGAGATCCTGGCTCCCAATACTCCGAGATTTCAACAGCCCCGATACCCCCACATTCCCGAGATTCTCAATACCTGACCCACATCCCAGTGACCACCCGACCATCGAGATCCCAGCCCCGCGGCCCAGCCTGGCTCGACTCAATCCCTAGCCCGCCCGCTGGCCTACCGTAGGTCTCGGACATGGCCGTCTGCGACATCCTGCAGCCTCTGTGGCTCTGTCCCGTCCGGTGGGAGCCCGAGGCGGGACCGAGCAGGGGGCCGGGCGCAGAGCAGACCCAGGGCTAGCGCTGAGCACCCGGCTGCGGCCCAGTGGGACTCGGCTCCGCGCACGCGCAGAAAGGGGGCGGGGACGGGAGGGGCGGGGAGGCGGAGCCCGAGTCCCAGGCAGCTGCGCGCTGACGGGGAGTTGGGCTGGGGTGGAGCGCAGCGTCTCTGAGGCTTGGGAGGCCAGCAGAGACCGGGCGACGGCACCAGGACCGTAACTCTGCCGGTCGGATGCTGCCAGCCTCACCACGGACCCTAGCCAGGGCCAGGTTTCCCGAAGGGTTAGGGTCGCTGCCTCAGTGGGCTGACCCGCGCCTTGCAGACCCGCGCTCTGATCTCAGGCCCGTGGCCCTTTCCAAGCCGCGGCCAGGTGTTGTCCACACGAGACAGAAGCGAAGAGGGCGGTCCCTTGGCGGGACTGTAGGGAGCTGTGTGTTCTGGGAGCAGCACCTGGCCGGGGCACTGGTTCAAGATCAGGAGTCTGGGTATTTTCGTTCTAGAAAGCAAGCAGTTCAGAATCGCCTTACTATGGAAACCTAGAGGTAACATTTATTGGAAATTGAATTTTGGTTGGGAGCTTGGTCCATCTGGGCGTGACCAGGGTCACACCTTGTCTCCTAAAACCCGGCCTTAACAGTATCCTAAAACATCCTGAGCTAAGGCCCGAAGGCCTGGACTGTGTGGAAAAACCCACACTTGTGTCTTCCCCCAGTCTATTAGGCTCCACCCGCATAAACTGCTACAGACTCCCCAGTCCCCTGGCCATTGGCTCCACATTTCACTCTTCCTTTTGATCCTAAAAACAAATAAATGTTTTTGTTTCTAAGTCACAGAGAAGGGCCTGTGCTGAAATGTGACTTGTAATTTCCTACAATTTTTTTTGTATATGAACATCCATCTGTGGCTCAGATATTTTGTTGCTTTCCAGTGGGGCTTTCTGCCCACAGCTAGATTTAGGCCCCTGAGTGCAGCAGACAGCTTTCCGTCCAGGGGCCTCAGAGGAGAAACTGTCGGGGAATGAGAAGAAGACACTGTCACGGAAAGACCTGTTCATTCTTTAGATCTAAAGTTCCTTCCTGCCACAGGCTTCTGGGGACCGGGAAGAATCACTGGGTGCAGAGATAGTTTGTTATTGACAGAAACTGGACCTAGAGCTCCCTGGAACCTGCATGGGTGGTAGTGCAAGCAGTTTTCTGTTTGGGGAGAAATGAAGACTTAAAGGGGCCTTTCAGAAAGACTCTGTTTTGGGGGAAAAAAAACACAGAGAGATCTTCTAATTCACAGAGATAAAGTCATCATCATATGTAGAATAAGAAATGTGTGTGCAGGCATCTCTCAGAGTCAGACTTCTTGGATATCATGTGAAAGAGTCTGCATCTCAGTAACTTGGGTCTGGAAAGAAATGCATTTCTCCTAGATATTCCTGGAGACTGCTGTGATTGTGAGGGCTGCTGATCACGAGGAAGAAAATGTAATGTAAAATTAATGTGTTTTTCACCAATTACCTTTGTCTTCAGAGGAGGTTTGTGACAGAGGAAAGCAACTATCCCAAAGCCTAGGCTTGTTGGAGGGAAATGAAGGATGACAGAAAGCCACAAAGGGGCCCATGAGGCTCTGGCTGAGAGCAGCATTCTGCTAATTCAAGATTTCCCTTTGAATAGGGCAAAAGAACTCTTAGCTGATTGGTAACAGACTTGTGCCTGACACTTGGGGACTCAAATGGCTGGGAATTGCTGGGAGAAGGGGACAGTTCTGTGGTAACTTCACAAGCTCAGTGAGCACCCCACAAGGCAGTGGGGCCTGTGATAGGAGTTCCTGTCTTCAAGCAGGAGAGACCTCAGAGGCTGCCACTTTGCCTTCTGCTGCCAGACAACACCATGTGAGGGAAATTCAGTCAGGAAAGGTTGGGTGGGCTGCAGGAACAGAGGTGTTGCAGCACACTTGTGACTAACAGGTTTCACTAGCCTTCCTGCCTCTCTGGGTAGGGAGATGTGGCTTACTGTAGGCCTCAGGGACCCAGGCTGGGCTGGTTTGTCTGAACATGTCTCCCAGGATTGCTCAGGCAGGAGAAGGAAACAGCAGGTAGTACTTCAGTGGGGATCCCTCAGGAACTGAGGAATTACTGCCTTGTGTTTTGTGGTGGAACAAGTCAGGGGCCACAGCCCATTTGACTGATTGATTGATACCAGGAATCAAACTCAGTACCTTGCACTTAGCAGGCAGGTGTGGTGCCACTGAGCTAAATCCCCAGCCCAGCCCATTTTAAAGAGGATGGAAAGCATAATATTGCATCTCAAAGGAAAGAAGAAGAGAATGTGTAGGCAGAACCATTCATCAATCCCCTGCCCAAGACCCTGTCCTTCGCTTCCCCTCCCCTCACCTTCCCTCCCATCCATTCCCCTCTCCTCCCTTCCTCTCTCCTGCCCTCCCCTTTCCTGCCCTCTGCTCCCCTCCCTCCCTCCTTTCCTTTTTTTTGGGGTACAGTACTAGGGATTGAACCCAGAGCCTTCACACTAAGCTATACCCCCAGCCCTTTTTCTATTTTTTATTTTGAGACAGGTTCTCACTAAGTTGCTATATTGCCTAGGCTGGGCTCAAACTTTCAATCCTCTTGGGTTAGCCTCCACAGTGCTGGAATTACAGACATGTTCCACCATGCCTAGATCCTGGTAATTTTTTTCCCTTTTCTTTTTGGGTGCCGGGGATCGAACTTGGATCCTTGAGGTTGTGCAGCAGGCGGTGAAACCACTGAGCTAAATCCCTGGCCCCCTGGTAATTTTTTTATTGGATTCCAGACATGGGGAAATTTACTTTGAGATGTATATAATATGTTTGAGTTTTGTTCTAAAATGTAGATAAGTTATTTAGAAAGAATTTGATGCTTTCAGGTCTTGTTTTTAAGCTTTTCTTGGGCCTTGAGCAGCATTCAACTCAGCCACAATGTCCTTGAATTATGAGGTATTTTGCAATGAATAATGGAACTAGGAACGTTTTTTTGCAAGAGGAGTGGCTTTGCTCATGCTAAACCTTTGCTCTACCATTAAGCTATGTTCCCAGCCCTTCCTTTTTTTTTTTTTTTGAGGTTGAGTCTTGCTATGCTGTTAAGACTGGCCTGAAGCTCCTGGGCTCAAGTGATCCTCCTGCCTCAGCTCCCTGAGTAGCTGTGACAACAGCTGTGACCACCTCCCTCTTCAGGGACCAGGAATTCTATAGGCTAGTGGTGGCAAACCTATGTGTGCTGGAGTGGGCTGTTTGTATCATTGAAAGCTCCAAAAGGCTTGCTATCTCTGCTGTAGGCCCTGCATGCATGTAGGGTCATTTTCTCCCCTGGTGGGTTCCTCACATGCCTGCACCATTGGGTTAGGGAGGGCTCTGAAGTCTTTGGTGCTCTCTCTGCAGCTCCCTAGCTTCCCTAGTCTCCCAGCCCAGAGTCCTGCCCCTTCCTGGCTGACCCCTAAACCCACCCCAGCTTGGTGTGTGGGTTTCTTAGCTATAGGCAGTTGCTCATTCATTGAATCTCAGTGTTTTAAATGCCACTGAAGCTGGTGATTCCTGAATTTATCTCTTGCCTGGGCTTCTGTACACCGCTGCTCTACTGACATGTCATGTGGGCTTCTGAACAATTGGAAACCAAATGCCCACTGTGTGCCTTCTGCAGCTCACTTTGTTGTCCTTCACCAGATCCTTCTAGGTGCACCTCAGGACACAGTCATGGGAGCCAGCCCTAGTGCCATGGGGGTCAGCTGGCCTCCGTCTTTCCTATTGGTCCTCCTGCTTCTGTCCTGCACCTTCTATAATCTGTTCTCAACAGAGGCACTAGGCTAGTGGGCCAAAATGTAAAGAAAAGAAAAACAAAGGTGAAGAACAATTCTTTAGAAGCCAGTGTTGAGCCGGTGTTGAGGGGTGGCAGAAAGGACCATAAGTCTTGCAGAGCCACACTCTGCTCAGGGCCCTGTCCTCAACCTAACTTCTCCCTTCTGCCTCCTCCTCTGCTCTTGGTTCTGCTCGCACAGCCTCGTGGCTGTGCCTTGACACACGCTCCTTCCTCTCCCTGGCATGCTCGTGTCCCTGGTGTCCACACAGCTCCCACAGCCTCTGTTTTTGGCTCATGTGGTACCTTGTTGGGAAGTCTGTCCCTATTCTGTGTCAAATAGCAACCCCCTTCCTGGCACTTCATATGGCTCCTGCTTTACTCTGCCCCTCTTATAGCATTTGTGTTAGTTACTTTTCTCTTGTTGCTGAGACAAAGTACTCGACATCCAAAGTTAGAGGGGAAGGGATTTATTTGGTTTACAGTTCATAGAGGTTCAGTCTATAGTTGGCTGGCTCCAAGCCAGGGATGGCAAACAGACATCACAGAGGAGAAACAACACAGTGCACACAAAGCAGCAAAGGTAACAAGAGGAGCTTAACAGCATCTCCTGGCTCCTTTTATCTTATTCAGACTACTTAGGGTGGGTAGCACTTACGCACTTAATTCTAGTGCCCTCAAGCCTAGCATTGCATCATGAATCAACTCCAGATTCACACACTCTAGATCAACCTATGATGACCATGACCACATGAGGCTTTGGAGGGATATCTAGACCCAAACCATAGCAGCACTTAACATCACTTGACAGGTATAGACAGCGTTTGTATTTGGAGGAGGCAGACAATAAAAAAACATGCTGTGTATGTTCTGACCAATGTTACCCTGAGAGTCCCCACCCTTTGCCTGTTTTAACAGGTCTGGCAGGGACTATTGGCATTCAGATGGGATACCATGATGTTCTCCAGAGGGTAGGGCAGGGATTTCCCAGTGTGCCCCTCACCTCTGGGCTTTGCAGTGGCTGTCCTCACTCTTTCACAGGCCTTCATGTGCTCTATCAGCTCCCTTTGGGCCACACAATAACCAGTGCCCTCTTGTCTGCCAGCTTGGCAAAATGCACTTTTAATGGAGACAAGTGGCTTAACAGCTGGAGCCTCCTGTGTTTATTGATGTCCCTGAGGCGGGGCGGGGGGGGGGGGGGGGAAGAGGGAGACAGAGACAGATTTGGGTCAGAGTCTGCAGAATTTCT